ATCCCTTCCTTTTCTGTGACATCTTTCCTCGTGGCACACGCTGCTTTCGGAAATGTTTCCATATCGTTGATTTTCACTGTGCAATCGTTCCCATTGAGAGGTGTTGTTGTCAAACTGCACTTGGTAAACACACTAACGCTAATGATCTAGCATCATCAGGTGTTTCCGTTTTTAAATCCTGGACTTAAAATTAATTTTCCAAGTGTATTCTTTGATGATGTGCTCTGGTGAGAAGTTCCGCGCCTACTATGCAGAATAAAGTCGAGTAAATAATTTTCTTACTTTTCTTTCAGGGGTTCATTTAATACGTGTTTGTTTTAGTTGACATGGCTTAACCCATTCACTAGGGTTTTCTTCTTCTCCTCTTCTCCAAATATCGCGGAAACGCAGCTCTTAGTGAAACCACCGCGTTGTTTCTTTTTTTTTTTTTCGTTTGTGAATAACCTTTCAGGTTCGAGTTTCCTGGATTTCGGTGTGGTACTTTCATTAGAATGTCCAAGTCTAAACGAATCTTGTTGTCCTTTGCTGGATCATCACTCAAAGGCTCCACACAGTCATATAAACGCTTTATTAGTGTTCACGTCGTGTGGCCAGGAGCGCTAAAGGAGCGGGGTCAGATCCTCAGCCAGTGTAAATGGAGTATGATGAGAATCTGGCCCAATATGTTTTTTGTTGTTGTTGTTGTTGTTGTTGTTGTTTTGTTTTTTTGGAAGGTATGAGAGGGAAGTCGGTTTTATGACAGCTGTGCAACCCTGATCTTGCCAATCGTCTGGCTCAATGCCAGGACACTAAGCAATGGTGTTTAGTAAACCCCATATGGGTGGTTCTTGGCATTTCTAGCAGCAACAGGTATTTCTGTGGCGTATGAGTGAACATAGGGGCTGTAAAGCACAGTATTTCGCTTCCTTGAACACCTTTTCGATGCACAATGTACCCTTTCCCTTTGAAACTGAGGCGATCCACGAAATATCACAGCATGAAGTATTTTTGTCCTGGGGTAGCAAGTATTAACGAAGTCATTTCCCCTCTCTCGGAGAACAGAAGACTGCTCTCGGCGCATCTCACCGTATCAGTACTGCAAACTTATTGGAAGACAGGAGGGATTCAATTCTGACCTCCCAGAATTTGACAAAATACATGTTCCTCGCATGCAATGACCTCACAATACGGGTAGCAAAGAGGGAATTTCGTCTAAATTGTCCCGTGGCAGCACGTTCCTCTCTTTTTGTATAATGTTCAGGTTGTTTCTTTTAATACAAATTATTACACATTCTTTTCTGTCTATAGGATCAGCAGGTAATATTCATTAATAGTAGAAGTGTGACTAATTTATTTTCTAACAAGTTCCCCTGAATTCTTTTTCAGTTGCTAGGATTCTCCCTTGTGCCATGTTTAGGCTGCTTGGTGTATGCTCTGTACAGCTTCTATAGTCAGACACACTCCCTCCTCCAACCACTCTCGCGATTTTATCATTTCCTACTTAGTCCAGAACCATAGCAAGAATAACAAAATCCACCCTTTTAAACGCATTTACCTAGAGCTCTCCAAGAGCTGAAAAATTATACTTCTCTTCATGGTGAGGGATTTGCTGTGGCTAGATACGTTGCAAGCACAAATGCCAGAGAGAACCTATCAGTTAAGACATCCGATCATTATATGTTTTATATAAATGACTTCCTGCCACCCCAATTTTATCGCTCCATAGATACAAACTAACTATGTGATATATGGCCTCTCCAGGTCCCTTCCAGTCCTAGAATCTATGAATAAACGTCTCTTAAATTCACAATAAAATTGGTTCTGCAGTACTTCACCTACAATGGGTAAGTAATTTCTGACATCATTTTGTTCTGTTCTAAAATATTGTTTAAGAAGAAGAATCCATACGCTACCTCATCCCCAGTAATCTGACACACAAATAGCCTTCCATGCCGTTCAAGCATGTACTTTGACCAGAAATAAAGCGGGGGCATTGTACAACTTTCACAGCAATCAGCAGTACATGTCAGGTTTGGGCAGTGGCTGGCATGACGCCGAGCGGTCCTGACTGGAGTTCCTAGGCACTAAAGTGATACAAATTTTAAAAATGAGAATGAGTCACTATAAAGACAAGTCAAACTCTGTTTTTATGGATTCAAATCTATCCATTTATTCTGAGTTATTTACCAAAACTCCTACCCAGAGCTCTAGAATCAAGTCACGTGCAAAAATTAAGGAAAATACATAGTAGGTTCTGGCATATTGCCAAAACATAAAATCCTCCCAACCCCACACAAGCGAAGACTCTCCTACCACTTTCTCACGGAAAACTTAAGGGAATAGATTTTCTATGTGGCATCGCCTTAAAGTCAACAAAAATGGCAGGTCAACAAGAGGAAGCGAGTTCCAGAGTTCCCTGAAGAAGGCCCTGTCTCCAGCTCTCTCCCCATCCAGACGTTATTTCTGTGTATCTACGTTGGTGTTTATACTTGGCTCTGCGACATTCAGGTGTCATAGTGTTACACAGAGAGGGGAGCGGTCTTACACATTGGAGTGGTACAGCATTCAAAGAGAGCAGGGTTTGGTTCAATATTTGTTCACACTGTGCCTCCTAACTGAGTAGAGCCCCCATTGAAGTCAACGACTTCATACCTTGTAATTGAGAGAGAATTCTGGCTCAATCTTGTAATGAAATATTCCTTGTTCAGTATTTGAGAGAGCATGCACTATTGGAGGATTAAAGTATTTGTTAAAAAATGAATGTAAGCATGACGTAACGCTCTGGCCCCATTAAAGAATTTATTCTGAAACTGATATGCTGGTCAAGCGTAGAAGCAATTTAGTGGATTCAAGGGACAAATTCTATTTTGTAAATCCGGAATACCTCCTTAGACTTCAATAGAGTTACTCTCGATTTGCACCACTGGCGATTTTGGCCCAAGATCTGTAATAACCAGTAATTGAGCATAGAGATTGTCTATTCCCCCTCTCCATTTTTCTGGCGGTTTAATCAGATGAAATGAACAATCAATTAGACTTTAATTCGTTGAGGAAGCGCTAGGAGTGAAAGGTGAGATTTGCCAATATAGCTTTTAAGGCTGGGTACCATTTTCCTCTCTGTTTAGAGAAATCCAGCACTTTTTCTCCATTAATCTTTAGCAAAGAAAGCGTTCAGACCGCACCTGAATAAACAATCCAGACTGGAGAAAAAAGAAAACTTATATATGTGCCCCTGATATGTGTCTCTCACTCCGTATTTATACTGATAGTGTGCACTAATAGGTAACACATAGTATAGTCCTGCTGAGAAAAATCCATCGCCTCATCTTATTTCCCCTACCACTGTAGCATTATGCGTGGGACAGAAAGCAAGCACCCAGAGTCAACCCAAGTTCAAGAGATCCAGTTGCAAGTATCATTCGTGTGTTTCAGCGGTTCAACGAATATTGTTGTCAAGTTTCACTTGGAAAGTTTGCCATAAAATATCCTTCTGTTGAGTCACGCCCCTGTTGATGAAGACATTTATACAACGTTAAGTGCCCCCAGAGTAAGATCGCAAAACTCGTGAGGAGCAAATTACAAAGCGCTGGGTGAAACTGGTCATGAAAACAAGGAGAATTGTGCCAGGAATTGTAGCAAAGGGGAAGTTGCCATTTTGCTCGAGAGATGAATGTATCGAAAAGATTAAGGAGCAAGATTTAAGACAGATCTTTCCACCTGTTATAACCATCAAATCCATATATTCTCTGTAAACTGGAACATTTATTCTAGTTAATTGTATCCAGACAGGGTCGAGAAGGCCAATGAAATAAACAAGAGTTGGGTATTCATTTTAGGAAGGAGATTTTTATTCTGCTTTTATCAAAGTTATTTCTATATTGCATTTGTATATTACCATTGCCAGTGGACTGAGTATTTTCCTCTGTGCAGTGCTACATGACAACTGCAAAACGGAATGTGCAAACTCTGATGAACTTTTACAGGAAAGCTGCCTCGTTTAAGTTCGTATATGTAACAGAACTATACGGATTCCAGATTGGTTTGATTCAATTAAGATTGCTCTAGGGGAGAAGAAATCTCCAGACCCATTTATATCCGTTTGCCACTTTCTATACCTTTGTGCAAGTTATTCGCAATGCCAAGATATATGTCATTTCTTTTTAGTGACTTTTAACTACATTACTCATTAAAAAAACCTACTTGGTTTTCAGCTATAGTATTGTTTGCTCGCTCGCTCTCCAACAAAGTCACTGCCTATAAATCAATGAGGGCCACGTCCGTAACAGGTGGAACTCCATTTATAGCAGGGGTGCTACAGCCGCTGTAGGTTTGGCCTATTGCCTACCATTGCAGAGCCGTCCCGAAAAATGAGGCCAGGCATCTTCGATCTAGTCTTATTCGGAAAGCCCTGAATGACGAAGGGGATTTGACTGTAAGTTCTTTGGGGCAGTGTCGCAGTAAAGTGCCGATCACTCTATTGCAGCTACAGGTATATGATAATAATACAACAGAGCTGTCAGTCCCCACTCAGGCATTGACCCAATGGACGCTTGGCCTGAGCAAGGACGGCGGGATCACCACTCTGCGGTTTCGGTTCCCGGGGCCAGGCAGTGGGGATGTCCCTGCCGAGCTCCACCCCCACCCCCCTTGCGAAGGGCCCGGCGGAGCTTTGGGGTTTCGGGGCAACTGGGAATCACTGCGTTGTTTCCCACAGACTGTGCAGACAGGGGGCAGAGGAGCCGCCCAAAGCACAGGTGCTGGAACTAGGTGCAGTGGTTTCCGTTAGATACAGGGGTTACCCATTGGTTCAATGGCTCTCAGCACCCCCCGCTATATACATTGTTCCCGTGCCCGCGGGGTGGGGGGCACTTGACCCCTTCCTCCCCAGCCTTGCGCTCCGGTTCCCACTGCAGCGCCGGGGTCCCTGGCGGGGCTGCTGGGCGCACCCTGCGGCGCTGGGGCGAGCTCCGGGCGCGTTGCCCGTGGCCGTGTGTGCGCAGGGAGGAGGGGGAGCCCCCCAGCCCCTTGCCCTCCCTCACCCCCTCCCCCTCTGCAGATGGTTCGCTCCGGGCCCCCGGCTATATAGCCCCGTCGGCTGGGGGCATCCCCCCGAGCCTCCCGGCGCGGGGTGAGGGCGGGGCGGCCGCGGGGCTGGGCGGACTCCTCGCCTGCGCTGCCTGCCCGGCGCCGCTGCCCCCCGAGCCCGTCTCTCCCCGGGGGAAGGGCGCGTGCCATGTCCACGGGCTCGGCCAGCGACGCGGAGGAGCTGCCCGCCATGGAGCTGCGGGGGCTGCAGCTGGGCTACCCGCCGTCCGCCGCCCAGCGCCAGCCCCGCGGCCCGCTCTACCCCTCGGCGGACCAGTCCTCCGCGGCCGAGGAGGAGGACGAGGAGGAGGAAGAGGAGGACGGCGAGGGGCGCTGCGCGGCGGAGGGGCCGGCCGGGGGCTGCAAGAGGAAGCGGGCCCGGGCGGGCGGCAAGAAGCAGCCGCCGCTGCTGCCCAGAGGCGCGTCGGGCGAGTGCAAGCAGTCGCAGCGCAACGCGGCCAACGCCCGCGAGCGGGCCCGCATGCGGGTGCTGAGCAAGGCGTTCTCCCGCCTCAAGACCAGCCTGCCCTGGGTGCCGCCCGACACCAAGCTCTCCAAGCTGGACACGCTGCGCCTCGCGTCCAGCTACATCGCCCACCTCCGGCAGCTGCTGCAGGAGGATCGCTACGAGAACGGCTACGTGCACCCTGTCAACCTGGTAAGCGCCCCCCCCCCCCCCCCAGGCGAGGCGAGGCTGGCCCGCCCCTAGGTGGATGGGCCCGACAGGGCTGGAGGGGCAGGATGGACGGACAGAGGGATGGCAGACAAGGGCCACTTTTCTAAGAGGCATCTGATTTTTTGGGGGGGAGGGAGCAACCTCGCACACCCAGAGCCTGCTTCGCATTGGTGCTGAGCTGCAAGAAGCCGCTGGCTTGGCGCGCCCGGCCCTGTCAATCCGGTGCCAGGCGTGTCAAGCTGGGCACCGAACAACGGCAGCCGCTTGTGGGTCTGAAACCTTCATCGTGGAGCCCGAGTCCGTCCAGTCCCTGCTCAGAGAGAGCTGTGCGCGTTGGGGATGAACACGTAGTAGCTCTGGGAGCGGGGGTGTTTGTGGAGAGGAAGAACAGACCCGTCGACATGTGTTTATTTTTATATGCTGACATTTCCCCCTGAAAAATAATTAGTGATCTAACTCATCTGGTCTAACTCTTACTTCTGATGTTTAACTTCAGCGTGTCTGTAGCTGGTATACTACATTTTCCAGCGTTTTTAGATTTCCCCCTATTTCTTTAAACTGTGTAGATCAGTCCAGCAGAGTGTTGTTTATTATTTAAGCAAGACCCCAATTCTCCGCTCAGCTACAGCTTTGAAAAAATTTGCAATCATCCCGTTTACACCAGTATAACGAAGAGCCAACTTTGACCTAAAGTGATGCAAAGGCTAGATGTGTTGGGGAGTTTGAATCAGAAACCTTTAACGAATTCATTCTTTGGCTATCAGGCAAGTTAAATGACTGAGGAAAATATAATTCATTCTTCAGGTCATTTTGCAGCACAAGCTTTCACTAAATCCAAAATTTAAGACGTGAAGCATAAAGAAGAGGATTGCTGTTTTGTCTTTCTAAATGTATTAGGATGGTTGATTATTTAGCACTAGTTTAAAAAACTAGCAAATCAGTTACAAGGCATTTTTAAAATATATGTTTGGACATGAATAAGTGGATGCTGGTAATAATAAGTTAAGGTGCATTTGATTCCAATTAATAATACTTTTTAGAGAGAACCAGTTTGTAGTGCTTCCCAGTGTGACTAAAACTGTTGTTTGTTTTTTAAATATGGGGTGCTAGGAAATTAACTGTTAATAAAAGCTCCAGTTTTACTTTATAGTGCAACCATCCTTCTAATGTGAAATGCCTTTTTTGTTTACAGACTTGGCCATTTGTGGTTTCCGGACGACCAGAATCTGACACCAAAGAAGTTTCTACAGCTAACAGACTATGTGGAACTACAGCTTAGCTGAAGTAAAGCTAACTTTTTGCTGGATATTTTTAAGAGCTATGATTTATGGGCACACAGCTAAAGGATGGTGACTAGAAACCATCTCTAACAAACGGTGTGAAATCTTTGTACCCTACCCTTTCTTTCCCTTATAGTTCTGAGGGTAAATGCACTTAAAGGGAAGGAATAAAGAAGGGAGGAGGTGAGATGGGAATTTCTCTGAACTGGCTGCAGCAGCTGAAGTCTGGGATTTGGAAAGGCCTTTCTTTTGCTGCATCATTACTACCACTGCCTGAGGACCTGTTGACCTGAGGCTTTTAAAGTAATGGAAGAGGATTATAACATTATAGAATTAACAGCATGGACCAAAATCAGACTCTACAAACTAATCCCAAACAGTGTTATTTGTATTCTAAAGCAAAGCAGTATTCTAGAGTAGTTTTGATACTCAAATAGATTTATAATATATTTCGATGGCTTTTGTATTCATGAATCCTATTTCCTGCAGCTATGCAATAAATATAGTCATATTACTTTTGTCCTTTTAACTAGATTTTTCTTAAAGACATTGAAGTAGCATAAGCAAGGTCCTGCAGTTAGGTTATGGGCCTTGGAATTAGGTTATTGCCCTTTTTTGTGTGTCAAGGTGCCATATACAAGAGCAGTGACTATCCCTAGGACACGTTACTAGATAGGACAAAGATCCCATGTCTTAACCTGGAAGGGATCCTGCTTACTCTAAAACTGGGGTATATGTGTTGTAAGGAATGTATTTGTATCAAGCTATAGAAGATCAGGAATTTTAAAATATTTTTAACAGTCTGTCCTGTCATATTATGCTCATCTATGAAGGATACTAACCCTAATGTGTATTCTAGTGACATTTCTTCATCCAGTAAAGTGTTGTAATGAGGACGCCATCAAATGAGTTGCAAATGTAAATAACTTTATTTTTTTATAAAGGATATTAAAAGCTTTGTTACAACAATTCAATGACTTGCTGGTGCTATGGTAGTGTCTGACTGCATCAAAGTAAGGGTATGTCTACACTACAGCTGCTACAGCAGCACGATTACAGCGCTGCAGCTGTGTCCTTGTAGCACCACAGTGTAGATGCTTCCTACATTGACAGAAGGAGTTTTTCCATTGCTGTAGTTAATCCATCTCTTGGAGAGGCAGTAGCTAAGTCGATAAAATAATTCTTCCATTGGCCTAGCTGCATCTACGCCAGGAATTGGGTCGTCTTAACTGTGGCACTCAGGGTGCAACCCTTTGAGTGACGTAGAGAGGTTGATCTAATTTTTAAGTGTAGACCAGACATAAAAATATTCATTATAAAGGTGTTCCTGAAATCTGCCCTTATCAACACATTGTTTCTTTTTTTTCTTCATCTTTTGGGTGGGGATATTCTCTAGTAACACAGACAGACAATAGCATTACTCCCTCCAGCCCACCAAAACAATTCACCTATATTACAGTAACACATCAGTCAGCAGAGAAAAAGCATGTTTGAAAGATTTACAGAATACATTGATTCACAGAAAAGAAAAATACATGTAGATTAACAAATGGATGTCAACAATACATTCCTTTTCGAATCCTGAAAGATAATGTAATAATCTTTTGCAACTGTTCCTTGTCATTCTACCATTCAAGCTGCAGTCAGCTTTGCTTTTATTTGTATTTGTGCAGTGGGAAAGCCAGCTGAGTTTTGCTAGTTGGAAGCAGACCTTTCCTGTTTCTTAACTCCTAAGATTAAAAATCCTGAGATAAGATTTGTTTTCAGAAAATATTTTCTTTGGGTTTAGCTCACAATCATCGCAATGAGGGGGAGGGTTGAATCCTTTTAGAAAAGACGAGGCCTCATCTCAGTTTAAGCAATAGGATAAAGTAGCATTTGTTTAACAAGAAGTGGCTTAACTCCTGTGTCTTTATAGCAGAGCGAGATTCCTTGAAAAGTATACTGGAAAGCAGCCTGCAGTGTCCAATCTCCCAGAGACTAGCTTGTACTCCTGCTTAGTATCTGGTTGTCCCCTGTGGGAAGAATTAAGTGAACAATTTAGTTAAGTTGCTCTCTTTACCATCAAGTTAAAAAATGATTCCTGCACAACAGAAGTTGGGACTTGATCCAGTACCCATTGAAGTCAATAGGCGTCTTCCCAGTGACTTTAGTAGGAGTTGGACTGAGTCCATAGACCATCAGATGTTGCTTCCAGTTACATCTGGAATAACTCTATTGAAGGAAGTTCGAGCTTCTCCTAGTTTGCAACCACATAACTGAAAGATGCTCACCCTCACTAGGAAGTAAGGTAAGAGAGAAAAGATATCCTAGCAAAGAGGAAAAACCTTAAGGTGTAATATATTGAAGAAATCAGCCTCATGTTTACAGTTCTGAGTCCTTGAGAAAAGATTATTTAGCAATTTCACTGAGGTGCCACTTGAGATAATCTTATTTGTGATCTTGAGCTGTTTTTGGCCCTGATCCCCACTGTACTTGGTAAATGACTCTAGGAGACTGGAGAAACATTGAAGGAATGTAAAAGTTTAATCGGTATAGAAAGATTAGAGTGGAAACGTTGAAAAGAATGGAAAGAAAAAAGGCCCAAAATATGAACCAGTTATATATGAAGTAAATATAGTAAGTCAAAAATTGGGGGACGGAGCATGCAAAGGATAGAAATCTCTTTCAGCTGCAATCAGTGTGCCATACAATACGGTCTCTAAAGCACACTCACTTGTGCCTATAGAATATAAAATAAAGTTGTTTGTCAAAAAACAAGGAATACATTTATATTACCTGCTTCTTCATTGTAGGCTTTTTAAAAAGATAATAAATATCTATAATAACATGACAATTGTAGAAGTGCAGATTTCACATATGCTCTTCAGTTAAATGCACCTCAAGATTTGATCGTAATATTTTCAAGAATTCACTCAATTTTAATTCCTGTGTTCATAAATATTTTCTTAAAGGCATCTCAAGGAGCTTTTTCCTCCTGATCTGTCACCGAGAAGCATTTTGTAACGCAAAAAGTGAGATGCTCATTTGCACTAACTTGCGGTGGGTGAACAGGCTGTCCTGCCTGGGGGAATGGGTAGGGCAGCTGTAGACTCTAGCATGCCTGGTCTATATTAAAGCAACACTCTGGCTCTGCTCTAGCAGCCTTTCGCAGGCAAAACTCAGAAATAGCAGGATCTCGGTCATGTGACCTGTTCGTTAGAAACCCCTGTTTTAAGCACTTACACATTTCCAAGGGGGAATTATAGGATTTGGGCTTTCTTCCTTGGGTTTTGCCATCCTGATGGAGAATTTCAATTCTATTTTAAAAGAGTGGCACCATTCTGTTGGGCTGGGTGTGAGTTACCTGAACCTGGAAAGGGGTGGGCTAGTTTCTTTTATGCTTAAAATGAATAAAAAATGCATAGCATGTCCAGACCAGCGATCTGCCAAGATGAAAGGTAAGAAGCAGCTAAGCTTTTAATTACAACTGGCATTTCTAAGCTCACTGTCCTTTTTGTTATATAGTCCCATCTTTTGTGACACTGGCACAAGGTACAGAGTAAGCCCATCCTGATCCCAGGTTCATTTATTAATCTCACCCTAGTCTTAATATTTTTAAAATGAAAGGATAAATCAGCTGCAATTCTCATTCAGCCTTTACTCAGGAAGACCCGTTAAATATGAAATCTTAAGGGCCAATTCCCGCCCTCTGATACATGCCCACTTTGACATATCTGAAGAAGCATTTCCCCCCCAAAATTCTGTTTATGATTTTCAAATTAGTATAAAAGCTGCATGGAAATCTGTTTGCAGTTCTTTACATTCAGCTTTCGTATAGCAAATATCACATCACTGTCAAGATAATTGCCTCCAACAAGAAAAGTGTATAGAGATATATATGTACACACACACACATACAAATCTCCAATACATGCCACTCTTTAGACATGGGAAGAAATGCCTCTTATATTATGAATGATAAAAATATCAATCTGAACAAAACAGATGTAGTTTGCCTTTAAGAAATGCTCAAAATTTTTCTTTGGTACCATGAGACAAGATACTACTGAGCATGACAAAGGGGAAGAATCTGACCCAAGATATATTGCACCCACTGGGTCAATGTAAATAAAAGTTCTATGGTTCCACCATTGGGTCACTCACATCACTGCTATCCACCCCTCACTAGCTTATGCAGGATTTGTGCACAGAGCCTTCATGCAGTCCACAGGGGATGCTAAGCCTCTCCCCACCTACAGCTGCTTTGCCCATTGCCCAGAGATATTTTAAAATCAAAACTGCATGTTTTCCTAAAAGATATGATCTAGTTCAAACAGGAATTAATTCAGGGAAGTGCTGTGGCCTGTGTTATACAGGACTAGATGATCACAATGGTCCCTTCTGGCATTATAATCTATGAATCTCCAGTGGAGTGGAGGACCAGTGCAAGGCTTTGCAAAGCACTGGTGAATTTCACCCTTAGCCAGGGCCGGCTCCAGCATTTCTGCCGCCCCAAGCAAAAAAAAAAACCCGCGATCGCAATTGCGATTGGCAGCGGCAATTGGAAAAAAAATAAAGCTGTGATCGGCGGCGGCAGTTCAGCGGCAGGTCCTTCGCTCCTAGAGGGAGTGAGGGACCTGCCCACCCCCGAATTGCCGCAGGTGCCGCCCCTCTCCCTTGGCCACCCCAAGTACTTGCTTGTTAAGCTTGTGCCTGGAGCCGGCCCTGCCCTTAGCAAATAACTGATGCATTCAAAGATACAAAATAAAATTTTCAAAAGAGACTAAGGACCTTTTTCAAGCTAAATCCATGGGATTTACACACTTAGGCTATGTCTACACTGTAAGTCGACCTATGCTACGCAACTCCAGCTATGTGAATAACGTAGCTGGAGTCAACGTACCTTAGGTCGAGTTACCACGGGGTCTACACTGCGGGGGGTCGATGGGAGAAACTCTCCCGTCGACTTACCTTACTCTTCTCGTCGGGGGTAGAGAACAAGGGTTGACTGGAGAGCGATCTGCTGTTGATTTGGCAGGTCTTCACTAGACCCACCAAATCGACCACCGGTGAATCGATCTCAGAGCGTCGATACTGGCTGTAGTGTAGACATAGCCTCAGGTACTTTTGAAAATCCCAAGGTGCCTATCTACATCTTTAAGTGTCTAAATGCCTTTACAAATCTGGCCCTAAGGGACTCAGAAATCTAAGGCCCATTCTACTGCTATATTCTTATTGTTCAATCATGTAATTTAAGATTCTATGGTACAGTATGATTCATTTAAGATTCTCATCTTATTTGATTCTATGCTTTCTTTCAGATATAGTGCCGCTCCCCCACCAATGTCACCTGCTCTGTCATTCCTATATCTTTTGTACCCTGGTATTAATGTGTCCTATTGATTATCCTCATGCTATCAAGTTTCTGTAATGCCTGTTATACCAATATCTTCATTTAATGCCAGGCATTCTAGTTCACCCATCTTAAGACTTCCAGCATTTGTATATAAGCATTTGTCAGTATTTAGTTGCTCTCCACATTGGGCAGTGGGGGTTGAAAGTTCTGGAAGAAATACCAAGGACTGAATGGACTTTGAGGGCCTCATTCTCCACGGCCTTGAACTTTGCGCAGTCATTTACACCTGGGGAAAGGGAGTGCAAGTGGGTCTAAAGTGCTACCATTTTGATTTGATAGCATTTTGCACCTACTTTGTGCAAGTATAAATGACTAATGGAGGTGGCAAGGCAATAGCCAATCAAGCCAATTTCTCTCTCATTCCTCAGGGCGATCCTCCCAGGGTAGAATGGAGACACATTGGGAGGGAAACTTCTGCCCAGTGTGATGCTTGTCATGGATAAATAAGGACTTTCAACTCTCGGGATTTCAACCCACCTCCTTTTGCCAACACCAAAATTCAAAGAAAAAATTGAGGACCCAAAAAAAGAATAAAGGAGGCACTTTTTGGAAAGTCCCTGTCAGACAAGCT